TCTTCAGTTTGGTCCACGCGCCTCAGCACTTGGCGAACCGATCAGGAAGAACAACAAGCTTTATCCAGAACAGTGTTTGTTCCCGCGCATTTTGAACATGCCTCAATCTTCGCGCGCAATTGGCGCCAATTTCCTCGCTCGCCTGCACCCCCATGTCGAGAGCGTGCGGTAGCACTTTTTTCTCTCAACAACACAATTTGGAACATATTTCAAGTGATTTATACTTCCCTAACTTTCTAAAATTGAACCGGAAAACTCACCTGAATTACTGGAAGGAGTCTTTCAGAAATAGGGAAAAAAATTTAAGAATATGTTTAATCGCTGTTTGATATCCAAGGGAAATAGTTCAGAAGAGTTTTCTTCATCCCATCATGTTTACGTGCCCGATACGAACAGTGGTTTTAAAAATGCATCGACCTCACTATCTTCATGAGTCAAACATGTAATTCTTGTTACGTACAGTCCTCATCATTGCAGACCGGTGACAGCGCGTTCAGACTTCGCGATCGCGCGATCGGATCGCTCGACTAGGATCGCGCTACTGGGATGGGTGAAATTCACACCGGGGGGGGGGTCATGTTTGTTCATGTTTATTGTTCCTGTTCTCTTTTAAATAAACACAATAAACATGAACAAACATGACCCCCCCCCCGGTGTGAATTTCACCCATCCCAGTAGCGAAGTCTGAACGCGCTCTGAAGCGGGTGAGCCGCCCCACCGGTCCAATGATGAGGACTGTACAATACATGAGCAGGTTGTGATTGGCGAACAGTACGCGCACCAATCCAAGCTTATTAGCAGCGTTCAGACTTGTAGCGCTACAGTTGTAGCGCTACAATCGTCGCGCTACGATCGTCGCGCTACAGCTGTATCCAGCTTCCTTTTATATTTTTTTTTCTTTCATTCAACCCTCTTTTGCCATATTTATCTGATGCTGGGCTCTTTTCTACTTTACCGCATTTTTTTTACCACATTTTAGTATGAGCACTATGATAATTTCAGAAAGTAGGTCATTCATAGAATAATATCGTAGAATATCAAATAATGTTCACAATTAAACGACGTCAGGCTGGTCACGCCTGTTGTTGGCTTGCAACCTGTCCGTGAATGCCAAAAACAATTTCGTCATCAGGGTCAACGTGAGGCACAACTGCAAAACCTCAAGCAAAGCCATCAAATATCAGAAGCAACTCTGAAACATAATAGAATAATAATAATAATAAAAACAGAAGAGAAAATAATTAAAGTCTAAAACGATAAATAAACCAATTATCACAGTGCTCTGTATCAAAAACTATATTAAAATGTGGTAAAAAATGCGGTAAAGTAGAAAAGAGCTCAGCATCAGATAAATATGGCAAAAGAGGGTTGAATGAAAGGAAAAAATATAAAATAAGCTGGATACAGCTGTAGCGCGACGGCTGTAGCGCGACGATCGTAGCGCTACAGTTGTAGCGCTACAAGTCTGAACGCTGCCTCAAGGTTGTAGTCCTGTTTCATGCATAGCTGAATGTGCGCTTGAGGACAAATGAGACTTGTGTTCCATGTATCATCAAATAAAGCACAAACGCAATGTTCGCGCGCGACCGGCGCCAATTTCCCCTCTCGCCTGCACCTCCACGTCGAGAGAGTGCCGCATCCTCACTTCATTGTTTAGATCTTTCAAGTGACCCCTGAATTTATCAGAATTAAAGTGCGAAAAAAGCTCACCCGATGGAAGGAATGTTTCAGGTAGATAAGATGGATAATCTCTGTATTCAGCAATTGTTCAAAACCTGTCAGAACATCTGAAAAAATTTCCTTTAGTACCACGCAAAGACTAATGGCCACGAACGACATTCTAATGCGTTTCGCAAGGATTCATTAGACCTGACCTGGTTACTTATTTACGCCCAACATTCAGTATAGTGTGAGTTTTACAATTTGTTTAATAGTGAAAATGTACTCGATGAATCTCGGAAAACTCATCGAGTAAGATTTCACAACTGTTTGCTATTCTGAGCAAACCCTCGCTTTACAAAAGAAAGACGAATTGTCTACAGTGTTTTCTTTGTTACAAGATTTTCAGTACAATCGGCACACTGGTCTGGAGTTATATTTGTCTTGAAACCTGTGAACTAAGACTAAATAAAGAGAAAACCATCAAAAAATTAAAAAAAAACAGGGTAGACTGATGCAGGACACCACCTCTCATGGCCATGGCAGTACAACGGAATGATGTGGAACGGCGACGCGCTGAACATGTCGACGTGGTAGGACAAGTTTAGTGGGTACACTACGTCCCAAATTCAATCTAGGATAAAACCAAGTAATTTTTACGTTAACATATTGTTATTTGGTATCTATTAGTAGTTGTTATAAAAATGTTCTGGCACTATTTACCCTTTATTGCCCCAACCATCCAGAATTGAGCCATTTTCTGACTTTTTTTCTCCGTGGACAGATTTGGCTCAAATGTTGTCTCCTGGGGTATTTGACCTCCAGAATACGAATATGACATCCGCTTAGCCCGAAACTTTCTGGCGCCCACGCCACAGGCGCCGGTGATTATTTTGGCGCCAGCGCCTGTAGCGCGGGCGCCAGGAGGTTTCGTGCCTAGCGGATGTGATATTCGTGTTCAGGAGGTCAAACTACCCCAGAGAACAAATTTTCAGCCAATTCTGCCAACGCAGAAAAAAGTCGGTAAAAATGGCCTGTTTTCGGATGACTGGGGCAGAAACGGGTAATTAGCGCCAAGGTTCTCTGCGTCCACTTTTAATTGTGATTTGCATGTGCCTAGGGCTATGTAGTTGCTCTTCTTCCTTTGACTGCACAATCTCTCTATAATTTCACAATGACGTAGTGGGGATATCTTTCTATAATATATTTACTACATGTGAGTAAGTTGGGTAAAAGTTTAAATCACAGCCAACATAATCAACAGTTTTATTCAGCTAACGTTTCAGCTTCGAGCCTAGACCAAAGACCTATCAACAAGTGCGTTCCAGAATCAAGACTAACTCACCATAGACGTCTAGGAACATCTTGTGGCTTCACAAGTACAAATGTTTACCACAGTTCTATTACATCTGGGTATTAATGCCTAGTAATAAACATTAATTACGGTTTCAGAACCTCATCTTTTTATTGTGATTTTTTTACATCTTTGAGGGACACATCTTCTTGTAGTGTAAGGAATAAATGAATGTTGTCCCATATATTAGTTGTCCGGAAAGTTCTCAGCGTTTTGTGTTACTATTTTTTGTACATTCATTGCTGATCAAAACTCATTCTCCCTTGCGTCTCAGTAGTACATCCTGAAGAGAATTTTTTGCGCTATCTGATGGTATAATTGCCGTCCCTTTTCCAAAGACGTTTTGAAGCATGTCAAAAGAGCAACTTCGGACGATATTTTTCTTCAACTACAAATTGGGTCAATCCGCAGTCGAGACAGCTCGACAAATTAACCAGGTGTGGGGGCCCAATAGTGTTGGAGAAAGCACCGTGCGACAATGGTTCGACAAATTTCGTTCTGGAGATTTCAGCCTTGAAGATGAACCTCGTAGCGGTCGACCTAAAGCAATACCTGACGAGGATTTGAAGGCGTTTGTGGAGGCTGACCCATCCCAAACAGTTCGAGAGATTGCAGAAAAGCTAGCCGTTGGCAAATCTACTCTTGCGGATGGTGTGAAACGCATTGGTGCATTGGGAAGGTGAAAAAATCCGACAAGTGAGTGCCCCACAATTTGAGTGACCGGCAGAAATTGGCACGTCTCGAGGTTTCTCCTTTCACTTGCTTTGCGCATAACAGAAGCGACCGCGTTTTCGGACGATTTGTCGCCTGTGATGAAACAGTGGTCGTGTATATAACAAGGAGACGATTTCGAACAGTGGTTGGATGCAAGGAAGCCCACGAGCCTAATTCCAAAGCCGGATCTGCATCGGAAAAAAAAAAGATAATGGTCAGAGTGTGGTGGTCATAACGCTGGTGTGATCACTAAATTTTTGTCACCAGGCGAAACATCACAGCAGAGCCTGGTTCAGCAAATCTACCCCTGAAATTGAAGAACTGGGGTTCAAGTTCTACCTCACCCGCCATATATTTCAGACCTTTCACCATCCGACGGCCAACGCCGTTTGAACTTTCGCACCGGGCGGAAAATAAATTGTGGAGGACGTGATCACGTACCATGCCTTCCATCTCACGCACAGCTCTGGCGCCGTCCTGCCTGGCCCTCAGTCGTTTTTGTTTTATCTCACGATCTTTTCTTACTCTCTCTCTTCCTTCTTTTAATAGTTGATAATTTGTGCGAGAATCGATATTGTAGGCTGCGAAAACGAAATAGGTGTAAAGCATCATCAAACAAAGCGAGTTAGTCACAATCAGACTATTGTCAGGGAATGATTGGAACGATGTTACGTAAATAACACGAAGGTAGCCATGTTAATGGCACAACTGCGATATACGTAATCCACGACTGATTTTATTCCCTATTGGAGGCAGCGCAAGGTACTGTATGTTGATAGTTAAGATGCTTAACGGGGTTTTATTATCATAAATCTTCAAAGGGAACATTTTATACTCTTTGTACTGCTGTCGGCACGGCTCCCCCGTCACTTATCAGTGAACCATTGACGAACTAAAGGGATGTAGAATTGCAAGAGTTGGAAACGATTGAATACGTATCAGTTTGAAGACTTGCAGAATTGCGGAAATAGATCAATGCGTAATTAATCCTGTTTGTCACTGTGCAGTTCTCGGCACTATTTATTCTTCACTCGCCGAGTTGATTGCACGATTCGTTTATCGTATTTCGAGTCTTCTAGAATAGGTTAGTTGGCTTCCTGAACACGAACATCACATCCTTTAAGTCTGGCACCATCTAAGGCTGAAGCGTTCATACTATATGACAGCGTCCACAAGCGACCACTAGCATCTATGGTTCTGCAAATCAAGCGCTCAACGAGCGCTGAGAGTGAGAGTAATTGGAGAAGTAGGAGGTAAGGCTTAGATTAGTTGAGTTGGGAGACTGCGGTATGCAGTTGTACGGTGCAGGCTGCACACGTGAGCCATTTCATCTGGAGTCTATCAGCTAGTCTACTACCTCCTACTCTCGCCTTATCCTTCTACTCTGGAGCGGCCGGTGGACGAATGGTGAAGCGCGGGCCTTCACTAGATCGATGTCTATACTTTCCTAGCCGCTGGCACTCGCTCGAAACGCTGGTGGACGCTGTCGCAAAGTATGAACGCAGAGTGACGCATGCGCCACCAGCGACGGCTCCATATGTTTTTTTTTCGACTCCAGTGAGTTTGGTGCCGAACGGTGTGCTAGGGCAGGTAAGATAACGACGAGAAAAGCCATTTTGTATGGTGCTTATTAGTGCTGCCTTTTATTTATTAATTCATAGGGATGCTGTAGTGTGGAAAGGAAGTTTCGAACACGACCATACCCGCTTACGTTGCCTTAGGAACAGGACATCAAGCTGAAGACGTACAGAAGACATTCAGACCTGTAGAAGTTTCAACAAGATGAGGGGCGGGGCGCCGCGCATTCCGTCTAACGCGAAGTGCTCAAGTTAGGATGAGATACTGTAGAATTTTGGAATGCCTGCTTCATTTTGAATGTACGACTTGGAGAAGGAACTCGAATGTGAAGCTTTTCGAAGATCATAAGCAGCAACGCAAAGATGCGACGCTCAGATCTTGAAAGCAACTGTCACGAGGACGCAACCTGCATTTCATCGTTGCCTTAACTTTATGTACGCGATAACGAACGATTTGGATCCCGAGCGGTGTCGAGTAAACAGCTGGTAAGCAACGCTGCAGACCCTATGCCTTGGATTGATGGCGTAGACAATGTCTATCTTCTCACATCCATATGCTTCCGCTTTTACGACAAATGATGTGGAGAGCCGTGCCGATAGTGCAAAGTCAGAAGAAGCACGAAATGGTTTCTTTACAGCAGTATGACGAAGAACTCCTCGTTAAGGCACGTAATTACCAATATAGAGCACCGATGTGGCGATAATAAAGGTAGCGATCACGGTAAGTCGCCATTGTAGCAATGGGATCGGCTACTTCGTTATTTACGGTAACGATTCGATTGAGAACTAGCTTCAGATAGGTGTGAGAAGCGTTGTGGTAGTAATAGCGTATGTTGATGGTTGGTTCGTCACTTTTCATCTCAGATTACTGAAGACAGAGGCTGGTTAAGGATACGAGACTCAGTGAAAAGTTTGTCGACATGTTTGACGCTAGATATACGATCCCACAAAGGTCATTTAATGAAGATTTGCTCGTTGTGCAGAAGTCTCTGAAGTCACGGATTCTTTCATTCGCTTTGCGCTATGCAGAATAGTGCATGTTGTAGCTTCGTGAGTTATTCCCAGAAGTCAAAAGTCCTCTTCCAAATATCCAGTGTACGTGAACATCCAGAGTCACCTCATGTCGTTCAGGTTGTGCGAACGGCGTTGCAAGATGCCGCAGGTGTAGCTTCGTTACTTGCTACGACGGAATGTGTTGTTAATGAATTACCTAAAGAGGACCCAGTGCCAGGCATGGGCGGTATGGGAGGAATGGGAGAGAAGGGAATGATTAGCAAAGCACAGGCGTAGGTTTATTTATAATTTCAGCTATGATTCCACTGTGTACGTTTATCGCTCTTGCGCTCATTGTTGGCATGTTTAAATTTAAGTAGATAGACTGTTATGAGCTAGCATAGGGTAGTTTTTGTTGCATGGTTTTTATCAAGGTACGGTTGTATTTGGTAACATTGCATCTCAGAACGGTTGTTGATTTGTGTTCAGATCATAGATTAAATAAATATCTTGCCATTTTATTGTCTTTGTTACGCCAAACTGCTGATTGAGTTGGGTCACCACTTAATGCAACCCCAGTCCGACGTGAGAGAGTTTGTGGCGAGGCCATGCGATTATGTTGTAGTCAGCTGTCTTCAATATGGTTTTTTTTTCTTTTCCAGATCGCAATTCCATGCCGACCGGACGCAGAGGGTCAAACGTTTTATTGATTTACAGTTTTCAAATTAACGTAGCTACTTCCTCAGCATCCATAATCGACTTTCAATCCATCTTGGCATCGTGTGAAGTCCTTCTGACTAAATGTTAAAACCACAGCCAAGATGTTAACAACTTCGTTTGGCTGACCTTTCGGCCTTGTCGCCTTCGTCGGAGCCTTAGGAGCTCGGCTTGCTCGAGTTTCGACTACCATGTTTGTCCGATACGTCAGCCAAATAAAGTTGTTATCTTGGTTGTGGTTTAAACATCTTACCGGAAGTAGCTACTTCCCTTCAAAAGGTCGGAGCAGTGGAAGTCCTATTTTCTTGTGAGAACAGGAGCGATTGTTGCTTTTCAACGCTGCAGTTCTCGCTTCAAGGTTATCACAAGATCGCTGAGCTAGGGCACATAGATATCTCAGCCAGCACTACAATCTGCCTAAGGGCCTAAGGGGTCTAAGGGTTAGAGAAGTGGGTTTCGTTTTTGCTATGCGTTTACGGAAATGCCAAAAAATGAGTGAAAACAATTTGGCAAGAAAGGGCGATTTTAACCGTTATTGGGCTCTGTTGTAGCTGTAACTTTGAGAGTGCATAGTTTATGAGGTGTTCCTTCACTATGTATCGAAAAGAGAGCAAAATAAAGTCAAAAAAAGTGCATGGAGAAAAGTAGTACCGAAGTTACTTCAACGATTTCCGCAACTACTGTTCCCGTCGATGGATGGCGTGGTGGATAGTGCGGTGGGCTCTCGGAAGGGAGGATTGTAGTTCGGATCCTCTTGGCGACAAACTTTTGCATTTTTCGGATACTTTTTGCATTTTCGGATTTCCGTCTCCTTGTGTTCCTGCGTGCGTGGTGATGTATATAACATGGATATATGCCATTTAAGAGCTCATTCTGTACACTCAAAGTTCACGAGTCGACCCTACTTAACTATTGCGCTCTCGAAACATTACTGAGGAAACTCTTGCTGAAAGTTGGGCTACGGGGATGACTGGATGCCCTACTCACGAGTACGACACTCATTTTTGACCACGGCGCAACCTATCGCCGATTTGCTGCAAAAGCATTTTTGCATTGCTGCAAAAGCATTTTTGCACTGAAATCGTTGTCAACCCGCACGCAGAGGCTGTTAAGCGCTACGTGGAGTCAAATGGCCTCGGCGCATAAAATAAGTGTCAGAGTGAGCGGGGCTACCAATTTTTATTCAATCATGTAGCAGTAGTGAGTCTCCAAGAAGGTACAGGCGGTGGCGTGAAGGCAGGATATTCTCTACGAGTTGGTTGATGTAATCAGCGTTCACTTTCAGTCCGGGGTCCACGAAGAAAATATCGGTCTTCACATTCCAGGAACTTCCGGTCCATACCACCAACCGCGCCTTGGCGACTGCGGTGAAGATGATATCCTGGACCGTAGCGACGTTGTCGGAGCTGCTCGATGTTGAAGGCCTTTCAGATCAAGAGTGCTGTTCATCTGTGACTACATGCGAATTTCGCAGCTATTTAGGTAGCGTGAATTCCATAGGCCTTCTCCAGTCCGCTGCGATTGGAGATGGCTTCATATTTTGGTGTACATGAAGGTGATGGGCGAGAGCCAGCTCCTGCTTATCGAGGAACATCTTGGGTATCTTCCGCCCTGGTACTCGTATCCACGTCCTCTGTCTGGGCTGCGAAAACTTTGCTGATATGTGACTCGGTCGAAGTGACTTTTTTTTGCCCCCCCCCCCCTCACGTGTAGTGCACTTGGTACAGGAAAAACCGGGAAAAGCCAATCACCGGAAAATTTCTCGAATGCAATTGTGGGGCCCTCTCCTTCTAGCGACCAAATATGACCCCACTCCTGGTAATCTCCAACGTGCTACGTCCTTGACTGTTACAACGGGTTGCCTAGGTCACACATGAGTGTTCTGGATCGTTGAACTGACAGACCAAAAAAGTCTTTATTTTCCTGCAGGTTCAATGCGGTATCCGGCTTCTCCCTACTAGCAGAGATTCTTATGAAAAGAAATTGGGAAGTTTGGCAATGCGCTCACGTTTTTTAATATCTTATATATCTTCGATTTTTAATGAAGAGATGTTGTACGAAGCCCCTTTTAGAGATGTTGTCGCGATGATTCATCCAAAATCCCAATCACAATAGCGTGAGCCGATCTCGATCCGTTAAATCTATTAAAAGGTACGGTCCGCGATTAGGTATAGAAGTTGAAAATATGGTGTCGGGAGGGTAGTGTGGTCGTGACGAACAACCTTGTACCGGTTTCGCATCAAAAAATTGTAAGGGAGGGGCGCTATAGCGCAATAGGTTCAGTGACGCCTCCTTTTTTCCAGTGACTCCGCCTCCAGACTCCGCCTTCAAGGCCCGCCTTTCAGTGAAAAACGAAGCTGCAGGACGAAAAAGCATGAAAAGTCACTTCGTACGGTAGTAGAGTTCCTATCGTTGAATAAGCTGTGCGGATGAGGCGTACTGTTGGAGATGGAGTCAACCGGGCAGGTACAAACAGAAGTACAAAATGGGGTTCTATCTAGGGCAGTTGACATGTTTTTTCTGCTTTTTTCTTCACTATGAAATTACTCACAATCCAATCATCTATATGCAAACTCCTGATCCACTATCTGTAATGGCGAATGATTGCGGGCTTTCCTTTTATAAAGGTGCACCTGGCGCTTGGGTGACCGCGAGGGTGTCAACTCGCGTTGCGGTTTCTCAATAGAGCGCGCTACCTTGCCCACCACTCTTCACAATTCCAGCAGAAGTAGTTTATAAAAAAGTGGAGTCTTTACAGCGCGGCTTTTGTCAGCCCCTTATTTTAAGAACAATGTGAGATTCTCGGCTTGTTGCAGGTGGCGCTGTTTTTTTCACTTTGCCGTTCCGGAATAAGCAAGTGCAACTGGCAATTGTCATGTGTCTTTTGAACGAGTTTCGACTGCCATAAATCAACTCCCATGCAGTCATGCTTTCACTTGAGTACTTCAATGGCACTACATCCCAAATGAATACAAAATAAAATGCGATTTCTCGCTGTTACGTCAAGCCAATCGTCTGCCCCAGTCTACTCTCTACGGCCTGCACATTGAAATCAATCTCCTGTTTCGCTGACCCGATTACTGTCAGGAGAAGACTTTCAGTGAGAGACAACTGTTTGTTGGATTATTACTATTTTATTGCTCTCTCGTTGCTTATCGCTACCTTTCCGCAGCTCTTGATTTCCACCTTCCTTTTGAGAAGATGAAGCAGACGACCTTTAGCTGTGGTAGTAGTTGGCCCCACCAGCGTGATTCAGGAGGTCCTCGTTGCAGTGACGCGCACAAACTAGCAGGATATTCCGTAGCTTGATGAATTGATAGAACACGGCGGTGTCAAGCTGAATAAGTTAGGTCCTGGTTCAAATGCGGTGCACGTGACGCTGTTTGCGACTTGAGGTGGGTTGAGTCCAGGGTTTGAGTGACAAGCGAAACTGGGAAATATCTGAGTGAACTTTTACTGTTCTCCTTTCTTATCCGAAGTCATCAGTACATCATCACCCCACACTTTGAATAACATAGTGGTCAGCTCAGCGCTGACCAGCCTCACTTGGATGTACACCCCTCGCTCCACTCCCATTCAAACTGGCCTTCGAACGTATAGTATAGTTCGCTGCGGACGGTTGGGCGTGTCAGGCGGGATGAGTTTGGCGCGGTGCCAAACCGTTCTCCACCAGTTGTTAAAGCGAGCAAGTGATATGACTGTATCATATCGTTCGTATTACTCGTTTTCTACCACTTTTTGTCGCATGCGCGCTTCAACAAGAAGGCAGAGAACGGCTTTGACGGCGTGACACACTCATACTGCCTGACACGCCCAACCGTCCGCAGACAACTAGAGTATATATCTGATCATGCATTTATCCTCATCGATACGTTTGAGATGGACAAGCTGGGTGAG